AAATATTATTTTTTATAACTTATAATTATTTTTTTGTCAAAAGTATTACTGCTGGGTAATTTTTTTACTCTTGTTACTCACTGTCTTTTTTGTTTTAGCTTACATATACTTATATGTACATATTGCGGTCAATGCCGATATAGTGCCGCAACAAAGCATTCGCCGGACGAATCTCTTCGTCCGGCTCCACAGAGAGCGGCGTTTGGGAATTACAGAGGTTACCGTCGGATTCGTGACTGAATCACTGCAGCCGCTGAGGTTACCACCATATTATCCTGAATACTATTTTCCTGGTGGACCTATAGTTTCGTCAAACTGCAGTGATGGCATGTCGTCCATCGGAGGACTTGACTGCAGCACGTCGGCTTCGACCGGCTGAACATGTGGCAAAGACGTTTGATGGCTCCTCGATGGCTCGATCTCGATAACTTCTTCACGGGCACTGACAACTCGGTGGACGGTGTTGAAACTTACAACTCCACCATGAATGCGACGGAAAGTATCTTGATATCGAATACATCGTCTGCAGAGTTAAATCGCACAGTCATATTAGGCATCGATTTACATGGCCGCATAATTTCGGTCGTAGACAGCCACCAGGTTTCGGGTGCATCACCCGTGGAGTTCTTCTGCACGGCCAAATTAGGCGTCGCCTGTGCGCCTGTGAACTCTTGTTATCTTGAGATTCCAACGTTTTCGCTAGATTTGCCATGAGCATGTCGAAAACCTTGAAATAATTTTCGGTCACGGATTGGATCATGAATTTGGGTGAAGTCTCCAGTGCTCCAATAGATGACGTCATATTCATCTGATACGGTTAAGTTAATCTATTAAACGATAAGTACGTTGGGAATTTTATAATGTATTATAAATGATACGTAAAGTTCGTTGTAACAAATAACTATAACTTATAACTGATTAGGTACCTACTAAATATACTGCGACGAACAGAAACAAATTATGTACCTATTATGTTTCAAACACTTAGGTAGGTACACCCTTGGCAACCATATTTTTTATAGATTTTTTAAATTGGCAATGCATCTATATCCTTTTTATTTATATTCGATAATATTATTATTTATTAAAATCGTATTCCTATGTTTTAGTTATACTGTTCAAGTACTAAATTGGTAAGCATAGGAATATAATTGGATATGGGCTCATATTGGAAGTTAAATAATATTAATAATGAATGATGAATATCAATATTCTACGAACTGGTTAACTGATCAAAAATCGAAGTTCAAAGTTATTTTTCAATATTCGACAATGGCCGAATATTAATCGTACCTATAAGTCGTAATGCATCTTATAAGTCGTCATGAATCGTTATCTGGAAAATAGTTTTTTTTCTAATGTTTACGTCATATTTACACAAATAGTTTTATAAACTGCTTAATAATGAACCTAAATAAGAACTTGACCAAAATCATTTAACTCTGATTAAAGAATTAAAGAATTATTATGCTACGTCCTACACACTAAAACAGTAATTAATAGTACCTATAGTTATTGTACTTGGACATTATGTATAACTGAGATATGAGTATTGCACTATTAGGTACCTAGCTGGTATAGTGGTACCTTTATCTTTGTATTTTTATTTAGTCATAGATCTATTATATCTCAATTGCTAAAATCAGATTTATGATATTTTTAGGGTAATTAAATATAGGTAATACCGAATGACTGAATGTGTAATCACTAATCACAGACCTTCAATTTATTTTTACTCTTTTAGTTTTTTACTATACAACTGTAGAACTTTAAGTAATCTAATATTGTAAAATTTTTATTGAAAGTTTGTTGTAACTTGATACCTATTTACGTTTTTAACTTATTTTAAATATTTTATTAAAACAAAATAAAATATTTTAATATTTTATAAATTATCTACACATTTGAAATGTTGCCCAAAATTTTTTGTTATTTGCCCTTTGAATTGTGTAGCATACCGTGCCCTCTTTTACCAGTCTGCGCTTGGACTAGTCGGTAAGTATATTAGGTTTGATGTTAAATGAACCCCACAGGCCACAGCAGGAGGTGCACCCGTTAGGGACTGCGTGCTCTTTGGTCATTTAAGAAACTAGACTAAAGTCTATGTGATATTTTCGTGTGGCCAGTTCTAAGTCATGTGTTAATTACAGATTACTTCAAACGTTCAGGAATCAGGGCTACTATCTGCAAGAGTGTATTGAATATGGTATTTTGTTTGATTTTAAGTTCATAGTGGAACGAGTCAACCATTGCTGGTGTCGTGTATTCACTATTCATTTTTAAAAACAGTTTATGTAATCTTTAAAGGTTAGGTTTAATACATTTAGCTAAGCACTAATGAAATTCCTATTTGAATACTAAATAATTTGATTATTCTTATAACTATTGGAGGGATGTAAGCTAAATAGTAATATATGATGCTCTAGACAAAAATAAAAACTGCTTAGTGATGTTTCTGGATACAGCCAAATCATTTGACTCGATAAACCAAGATCTACTTCTAACTAAATTAAAATCAATAATAGGTATTTTGGTACTGGTTTAAATCATATCTTACTAACAGATCCCAATCTGTACTATTAGTCGTCCATAGTTAAGTATAATATGGTGTCCCGCTCAAGAAACACAATATAGTATTAGGTCCATAACTTTTTTTCTATTTAGATAGGTACGTAAATGATTTGTTTAATTTTATACATAGATGGTGACATAATATTAGATTTTGCTGACAATACGGTATTATTATCGAAGGGTGATCATTGGAATTTGGAAGAAAAAAGGCTGACTTTCGGCTTTCAGTACTCAGTAGTGAATGATTGGTAGGTCGTAGGTATAGTCAAAATAGTTTGGCATCGAATAAAAATAAATCTTCTTTTATTCCATTTGCTTTGTCTGATATTAACATGCCGGACCAAATCATAATAAAATCTTATTGTAACTGTTGTAAAGGAAAACAGTTAACAGATATAATATATGTAATAAGAACTGTAGCTTTACCTATGGCGAGAATTAGATCATCAAGATATCCAGGTGTAATTTTTGACGATCATTTAAAATGGAAGCTTCACATCTGTAATAATGCACTTACGGAAATGTTTTCACATATTTAAAGAACTACGAAATACCTTGACATACCATGTCTTAATAAAAGTACCTATATTTTGTTATTTGGTTCAATCCGCATTATTATATGGTATGATAATATGGGGTATAGGGGTTCAAAATAACAAAATGTATTAGAAACTTTAAATTTAACTCATAGAATTATGTTTATTAGAATAATGATGAAAAATTATTTTATTGATTAAAACTATAATACTATAGATTTATTAAAAAACACTAAAAATATTAACGTCTAAAGAATTATATAGTAAAGCATCAATAATAAAAATAATTGTCATAAGCAAAAAATACTTTAAAACGCATAATGTCTATAACACAAATATTAAATCATATAACAGATGTCAGGTAATCATCAGAAACAGATAATAGAAATCATATAGTTACTTAACAAAAAACAATAACTCTTTTTTACCTAACAAATAAAATTTTATTGATATTTATAGAAAAAAAAACTAAAAAAATTGAAAATTGACAATGTCCGTAAACAGCTCAAAATAAGTCAAAATATTTTCAAAATGTTATGGTGTGTAGGAAATGAAAATATAAACATTCAGTAAAATTTTGATGTATCTACAGTTATTCGTTTTTGAATAACAATAAAATAACAAAACCACTACACGAGAAATCGAGGTCCGTCAGCCTGGCACCCCAAAGTCAAAATGTCGGGGTCAAATCAAACTAAAAAATTAGTAACCAATTTGTAACAATTTGTAACCACAAGATCAGAATTTGTAACCTAAGTCTTAACCCCAAAATTTGTGTTTCCATTTTCGGGTGCTGGGCTGACGTCAGCCTGGCACCCCAAATTCAAAATTTCGAGGTCAAACCACACTAAAAAGTTAGTAACCAATTCGTAACAATTCGTAACCACAAAATAAAAATTTGTAACCTAAATCTTAACCCCAAAATTTGTGTTTCCATTTTCGGGTGCTGGGATGACGTCAGCCTGGCACCCCGAATTCAAAATTTTGAGGTCAAACCACACTAAAAAGTTAGTAATCAATTCGTAACAATTCGTAACCACAAAATAAAAATTTGTAACCTAAGTCTTAACCCCAAAACTAATTTTTTTCTATATGGGGTGCAAAATTTGAAATTTCAACAAGAATTCAAAATGTCGGGGTAAAATCAAACTAAAAAATTAGTAACCAATTCGTAACAGTTTGTAACCACAAAATTAGAATTAATAACCAAAGTCTTAACCCCAAAATTAATTTTTTTATATATATAGGGTGCACAATTTGAAATTTCAACAATAATTAAATATTTTGTGGTCAAACCATACTAAAATATTAGTTACCAATTCGTAACAATTTGAAGGTGTGTTACACAACAAAGTCAAAATGTCGAGTTGAAAACCGATTGGTATTATATAATCTTTTATGTAACAATTTGTAACCACAAAAAAAAAATTGTAACCAACCTGATGCCCCGAAAACCATGATCCAAATTCCGGGTGCCTAATTTATTATGTCAATAATATTTTTAGAATTTCTTTGAGATTGACTTATTTTTAAAAATGCATATTACATATACAATAAAATCCCTTGTTCATAAACTTGGATAGTTCTAACTTAATCTCTGAGTAAATTAAAATGGTAGGAGACAATTTTGGTTTTCAAAGTATAATTTTAATCAATAAATTTAATTAATATTAGTAGATATAACATTTATATGTGTGGAGTATGTTCATTCCTATTTCCTATACTAAACCACAATACAAAAATTAAATGAACAGTGGAAACCTATAAAAACTTCAAAATATTAACGTACAAAGCAATTATTTAGTAGATCAATGGGGCTTCTGATTACTTGTACATCAATGAAAGAAGCAGAACCAATTTTAGAATCTATTTTTGTAATAGCTTTAAGTAAGTATGATGGCCCAATTACAACTAACGCAAAAGGCATTAAAACAAGATACACCATGTGCCAACAGCAAAAGGTTTCTACAATCTTTAATCAGTTGTAATGTCACCTTAGATCCATTCAGCAATGAGTTGGAAAATAACAATTTTGAACAAGATTTATTAGACACTGATGATTTGATAAATAATTTTGATTTAATAAGTTCATTCAAAGATTGGGCATTGTCTATTTTAACCAAATGTGAGACTCAAATTATTGGTATCGAAGGAGAATTTGACAATGCACAATACATTCCAGAATTAGTACCTCTTGTGGTTAACTCTATGAAACTTTTCCCATGCTGGTCTAGTATAATGGTTGGAATATTTGGTTATGGTGAAAAAACTGCATCAAGCAGTAGAATTGAAAGTAACTTAAAAAAATAGAGTATTTAAGAATGAAATCATGCCAATTAGAGCTGATAATTTTGTTGAAAATTTGGTTAAATATTATAGGGGTGATCATCTTATTTTACAGTCAAAAAAATGTGTCTCAACGAATAAAGACACTTCAAATACAAATTATGAAATTCCACAGGATTTTGTTGGTTTAAATAGTTTACCATGTGATAATACAATAGAGCCACTTGAAGAAGTAAATGCAATTGAAAACGGGAAAAATCAAGGATCAATATCAAAGCCTCGGTCATCAAAATCATTTTTGGTAAAGCAACAAGGATTTGAGAATATTAATTTAAATGAAAGAGGACCTATATGTGAAATAGCATTACTTAAAAATGGTTCCAGCTATAATAATAAACCTTTATTCGTACATGGTTTTGATAAAGTTTTATTAAGTAATACATGCTCTGCGGACTCATTGTTATCAATTTTAGCTGTTGCTGCTGCAGAAAGTAAACACTACCATGGAGTAATATCTCCATATTACTTTATTTGATATAGAAGACACAGGAGGTTCAATGTGTGAAAAATTGCTGGAAGATCTGAATTCCTTTAATCGGTTTGATCGATGTAAAAATAATTTATGTTTTGATCCGGAAAGAAAATCTAAAGGAACTACAATTCTATTTCCTGTCGTTGATGATAATATTGACTTACAACAAGAACTGGAAATATTTTTGATGCCGTTAACAAAATTATGTGTCTCTACTAATTGTAACCAAGAAAGAGAAGAAACGATAAAAGCCACTAATCATATAATTGTGGAACTCTTATCATTACCTAAAGGTAAATCATTAACTAAAAATTAAAAATATAATATATAAATCATGAATAAGTAACTACCTATATTCAATTAATGAAACTATAGTACTATTAATCTAGGTGTACTATTTAAATATTTAATAAATATAATAATATGTATGAAATGAGATTCATACCAATTTATAAACTAAATTAAACTTTTAGTTTGAATGTTTTTACATTTTTTTTTTTAATAATATGGAAAATACCTATACCTATATATTGTTTCTAGATTTTACGGCATCAACTAGTTCTAGCAACATTAATTCAGAAGTGCAAAAAGTCAAACAGAACTATGCTGAGAAAGTTACATGGAAACTTAAAAATATACCAAAACAAATACAAATACAGAATATTAATTTTAAATAACGAGGTGCTATAGCATTTAGTGGTTCTGGTGAAAAAAATTTAAGACAACCCAGTGGCAATTACACAGCGTTCTGCTTGAGGTCTCATGATGTCTGGAAATGTTTTGACGACACAAAAGAACACATTTCCGGGATAAAAGGAAATCGGAAAATAAATGTAGAGATTCTAATATATACTGTATGAAGTTTTTTTTTTGTTATGGCCTTTTCGACCAAATATATTAGTTTTTGTTTTTTTCTTAACTTCCTACATAACATATTCCTAGCTTACAGTATTCATATCTAGATATATTAATAATTATAATATATTAATAAACCAACATTGATTATATATTTTTTACAATGATTTAATTAGGTATTTTATTTTTAAATAACACACAGAAATAGTCACCAATTAAAATATTATTTGTAATATTTTAAGATTTTTAAATAAATGAATATTTTAAAATTGTATATAGGTAGGTAAAAAATCAATATGTTTATTTTAAATGTTCTAATGAGATGATATTGTCTTCATTTTTTTAAAACTAATCTGATTTACAAAAGATACTTACAGTTAAGTCAACAAGATCTTGTATATGAATTATTATAAGCTATAAAGGTCACATAAATTCCTAGTTAGTATGGAGGGTAGGCAAGTTTATTTTTCAAAATTATTTGAACCAAGTGTATTGTATTGGTTGAGAAATTATTGTTATCTTATACTGCTGAAAAAACAATTATTTCTACGCGTAATTATTTTTTTTTCCTCAGGTTTAGATCATATATTTACTTACCATAGCTATAGTTCCATTTAATAAAAAAATTTGGTTTCAAAATCTTTAAAAGTGACTCAACAAGTCAACAATCCTAAAAACCTCTAAACATTAAAAAAAGAGTATGTCAGCATTGCGGTGGTTGTTGTTTGTCCATCATTTCTTCGGTCCTCAGACATGCATTCGATAAAAAAAAAAACTATTCTGAGCGGACGAAATGAAATTTTTTAATTTTATTCGTTTCTATGGTGATAAACAAACCTTTGCATAGAGTTTATTGTATTTAATATCATGGAGTATACTTTGACTATAGACTACAATTTATTGAATATAATATTTATTATGTTACTAATCTTCATAGAAAGTTATTATAATATAAGTTTCAAATGCTCAAAAATATGATAGATATTAGAGCTCTTAGAGTTATCTATTTAACTCTTATTACAGGTTTCCACTGTTCATTTAATTTTTGTATTGTGGTTTAGTATAGGAAATAGGAATGAACATACTCCACACATATAAATGTTATATCTACTAATATTAATTAAATTTATTGATTAAAATTATACTTTGAAAACCAAAATTGTCTCCTACCATTTTAATTTACTCAGAGATTAAGTTAGAACTATCCAAGTTTATGAACAAGGGATTTTATTGTATATGTAATATGCATTTTTAAAAATAAGTCAATCTCAAAGAAATTCTAAAAATATTATTGACATAATAAATTAGGCACCCGGAATTTGGATCATGGTTTTCGGGGCATCAGGTTGGTTACAATTTTTTTTTGTGGTTACAAATTGTTACATAAAAGATTATATAATACCAATCGGTTTTCATGTTTTAGATGAGATAGATATTATTTACGAAAATTAACAATATTTATTACACAATGATATAGAAAGCGGAATTGGTTTATTTTCTACAAAAACGAATTTGGAATTCCTAGTAAAAATCGATACGTTTTATATAGATGGAACATTTCAATATTGCACCAAATATTTCAGTCAATTATTTACTATTCATGGATTAATAAATAACTATTACATACCTCTTGCTTTTTTTTTGTTAAAAGATAGAAGTGAACAAACATATACTGGTACGTTTCATGTATTAAATACGTTGTGCTTAAAAATAGATAGTCATTTTAAGCCAAACATAATTTATATTGATTTTGATTTTGAAAAAGCCATACACAATTCTATAACATGCATATAGAAAAATATTTCTATAAGAGGATGTCGATTTCATCTTGGCCAAGCTTGGTGGCGTAAAATTCAGTCACTTGGATTAGCTTTGAATTACTATAATAACGATTCGATTAGAGAATACTTAACGTGCATATTTGGCCTATCATTTTAAAACCCCGCGGAAGTCGGAGATATGTTTTCAATGGAGCTAGCAAACATACAGCCTTTAGATGATAAAATCGGACTATTTAGTAGATACATATATATCAGAGGATTCAATGTTTCCACCTCATATATGGGCAGAAAAAAGTTCAAGCATTCAGCGCACAACCAATGCATGCGAATCTTTCCATAGCAAATTTAATAGCTATTTTGAGTCGCCGCATCCTAATATATATACATTTATCGAAGTTTTAAAACTAATTCAAACTGAGACTGTAATTTTAATACAAAGTTCTAATAAGACTAAACTACATGGTCGATTACAAATTAGAAACAAAATAATTTTCATTGATACTCAAATAAAAAGCTGAATGAAAAAAAAAATATCAAATTTTGAGTACCTACAAATATTGGCTAAAAAATATAAGCCAAAGTAATTCCATAAATAACTTTTTGTTTTTTACCTATTATGTTTGACTTATTGACTACCTAATTGATTTATTATTTTTATAGTTGTGTAATTTGTATATAAATGTCGTATATTATACCTAATAAAACATAAAATATTTATTAATTATGTTAATTTTATAAATGCATCTATTTATCCGATTTTTTTTAGTGAAGCTTATGAACCACTACTTAATTCTTTACGTAGGGGCAACTAGTGTGAAAATTCTTGGGAGGCAACTCGAATATTATTATGAACTACCTGGTCATCGGAGGCAACTAGTGTATATTAACCTTTTTATTTACGATAAGGATGGGAGGCAATTCGTATATTTTGGGAGGCAACTAGTATGCACCGAATTTTTTAGTATGGTTTGACCACAAAATATTTAATTCTTGTTGAAATTTCAAATTGTGCACCCTATATATATAAAAAAATTAATTTTGGGGTTAAGACTTTGGTTATTAATTCTAATTTTGTGGTTACAAACTGTTACGAATTGGTTACTAATTTTTTAGTTTGATTTTACCCCGACATTTTGAATTCTTGTTGAAATTTCAAATTTTGCACCCCATATATAAAAAAATTAATTTTGGGGTTAAGACTTTGGTTACAAATTTTTATTTTGTGGTTACGAATTGTTACGAATTGATTACTAACTTTTTAGTGTGGTTTGACCTCAAAATTTTGAATTCGGGGTGCCAGGCTGACGTCATCCCAGCACCCGAAAATGGAAACACAAATTTTGGGGTTAAGACTTAGGTTACAAATTCTGATCTTGTGGTTACAAATTGTTACGAATTGGTTACTAATTTTTTAGTTTGATTTGACCCCGACATTTTGACTTTGGGGTGCCAGGCTGACGGACCTGAGAAATCGAGTGAATATCCAATATTGTAAAAATATGAACTTCAAACGCTTATAAAAATTTAATTTGATTTCCTTGAAGACATTTTTTTTTGATAAAATTAGAAAAACTTATGAATAATCTTGTATTACATTTTCAAATCTTAAATTTAAAAAGAAAATTTTTTTGAATTCTCAACTTAAAACAATTTGCTAAGTTTCGTGATTTTTCCGTATTTTGTCAAGATTTGAACTTTAAGTGCTTATAAAAAAAAATTTGACTAACAATTTTTAGTAGTTTTCAAATATCATTGTAACAATAATATAGTAGGAGCCTTGTATTAATTTTTCAAGCTTTTTTACCCAACAGATAAAGTTTTATTGACATTCATAGAAAAAAAACCTAAAATTGGAA